TGATGTGGGACTCTGCATTTCCGGATTTTTCCAAGATTTCCACACAAAGCCAACATTCCGTTAGATGACGCAGGTGGGAAGAGAGACAACTTATAAAGCTGGTGACCAAAAATCATGTAAGTAGAAAAAGAATTTATAATTTAAAATTAGATTTTAAAAAGCTGGCCGCACGCGTGGACTGCGCGACGACATATGGTGTCATTCGTCCCCTTGACTTTATTTTAATGACGCCATATGGCGTTGCTCGGCTCTTAAAGGTTAAATATTTAAGTCACCCTGGGGACTTGCATTTTTAAACCTACTACCCTAATTTGTGCACTGTTCACTTTAAAAATTAATATAAAATCTCCTAATTAATTTTTATGAACTAAAATTTTTGGAGAACACTTACCAATGCTCCTAGAAGTGCTTGAGAGTGTGATATTTCTGGAAACTTTCCCCTTTGTGAAGTTGCATGACACAGAACTTGCACATGTAGACAGTCATACTCCTTTTGTTGTGTACTGCGCAAACACGGCATCGCCTAGAATGCTGCTTCCCCTTGGCATGTTCACTCTTCACAGTTTTCACAAGGGTATGTTTCCACATATCACCCGAGAGTTACCTAAGGGGGTCCACATGAGGCCTGCGTGGGGTGGGGCTTGATGGACCCGGTCGCACTAAGTCTGTGTCTGCTGCCAATTCTGCCACCACCGTCTAGTCTGTAGCCCAGATTTTTGCCAAATTCAGCAGAAATTCCTTTTATTTCAATTTTGAATGGGGGTTTAGATTTTTTAAAACCAAAAATGAATTGAAAATTGCACAATATATATACCACAAGACATCTTTCTTTGTCCACTTTACTGTTTTCCGAGGAAGGGAATAATAGGCCAAGTACTGATCGGCTGTATCAACTCCCTTCATGAACATATTATACTCGGAAATACAAACAGGCTTCTTTACCTGTCCATGTCTCCTTTGAACATCAACCATGCTCAAATTGTGAATTGTGGAAATCATATTTACAATACGAGTATCCCTCCAGGACTGAAGAAGAATGTCCGTCTTCCTCCTGAATGTGGTTTCACCATGTTTCAGGGGTTTACATTCCTCTTTCAGATCTGGAGAAGGCCTCTGTTCACCCTAATTGTTCACAAACACGTACTTTTCTTAAAAGTAGGTGTTCTGCAGTTGCCACACTGTTATAATAATTGTCTTGATAGACATGGTAATTTTGATCAAGATAGAGTTCCAAAACGGAAAGAATAGTTTCTTGTAATATCTTTCCTTCATCAGAATAAATTTCTAAATTTCCAGTATAGCCTGAAGTGCTTTCAGTAACTACATGAACAAGTAGGCCATACTTTGTAACTTTTCCAGCATTATATGTTCGCATATGAAGCCTTCCCCTCCAAGGAATTACAGATTCATCCAAAGACAGTTGTTGGTTTGGCTTATAAAGTGTCTGAAATTTCTGAACGAAAAAGTTCAATAAGGGCTGAATTTTGAAAAGCCTGCTTGTTGGTTGTGGTTGCAGTTCATTATCATTGAAATGCAAAGACCACCAAATTTGCTCAAATCTCTTACAGCTCATTAGTTTGCTGAAAATTGGAATTTCTAAAAATGGATCTGTTGACCAATACTCTTTCAGATTATCCCTCCTTGTATGGCCCATTAGAAAGGTTATTGCAAAAAATTTTCTCGTTTCTGCTGAAGTGACATCCACCCAATTCAACGCCTTATAACTTCTGTCATGATGTTCACGCTGTTGGAGATAGTATCTGTTAGTTTCCTGACATAGCATGTTAAAGAAACTATCTCCAAAAAAACAGTTCCGCTACTTCAGACACTTGTGTTGGGTCCAGTGGAATTTGCTTCACCCCCAGATTTCCAGTAAACTGTCCCAAAGCAGGCGTTTTGTCTACTTTTCCCCATGTGGCTGTCCCGGCAATGTTGCTACCCGCACTTTCGTCAGAGCTACTGTCACTTTCACTTTTACTCTCTGTGTCCACAATTTTTTGTTCGCCCCTCCCACACTCACTATCAGATTGTGAGTTGCTATCACTAGCAGACTCATAAGGGACATCAGATAGCTCAACGGACAACAAGTCAGATATTTCTTGTTCTCTGAGAAAACGCTTGGACCTCAACCTCTTCTGACCTTGATCCATTTTCACTAGTAACTTCCTGCCTGGTGCATGCAGCTGGAAGATGAACAAAGGCATTTTCTTTTGGAGTGGGAAAGGAAAACAGTTGGGTCATAAACAGTAGGGTCATGTTACTGACTACGAAGCAAACATTCAAGAAGTCTGTTACGCACCAGTCATGTATCTGCCTGGCACCAGTGCAAGGTATAATGTGTTTCTACATAACGTGTCCTAAAATCATAATAATATGCCACCGGTCCGCCATGTTTAAAAGCACTGGGCATAAAAATATGCCACCGGTCTGCAAAGTGTTAAAATGCAGAATAATACAGAATCATGATTATTTAAAATTCTCTATGGTTTGATTCACAGTATCATTTGAACCTTTTGTGTCTGAATACCAAATGTGACTTAGGGGCAGTGTGAGGTGTCGAGTTTGGAATGTCCGGAGCTTACATATGCTGTGTTTACTGAAAACAGAAGCAAAAGAATTAACATAATATAAGTTATATATAGTGGGAGTACGAGTCAGGTAGTAGACAGTAGACATACATGTAGATTGAGGATGTCTGAAAACAGTGTGTTAAGGGGAATGTTGGCATTTATGAGAGAGAGAGACAGTAAGAGGAGGCTGGTGAAAACTGCTTAATGAGGAGCTTCATATTTAGTACTCATCACCAGATGTTTTTAGGGTGAGCAAATCAAGGTGGATGAGGCAGGCAAAGCATGTAGCATGTATGGGACATGGTAGTTAGTTAGTTATTGGAGAGGGTGGGTTTCCCCATGCACTTAGACCTGTATTGGTCCATTGTGCTTCCCTCTATGATTTCTACCAGTCTCTATATCCTACCGGTACTGGTGCTTACCATCAGTCCCGCCCAGCCAGCGAGACCGGCTCTACTAGCTGAGAGGTATCTATAATGCTTCCCCCATCAACCAGAGGTATTAGAGACTGCTGTTGGGCGGGAAACGTCCGTAATTTGGCTCAGTGACCTCCTTTGGAGATATGAGGTTCTTTTACATGCTGTAAAGCTACAACATGGGACCCACGGCTTAAAGTCCCTCCTGGAGGACTTGTTCCCTGAATTTTTCTGCCCTTAAAAATTCCACGACCTCCGCCGGGTTTGAACCCACGTACCACGAGTCATGAGGTGGGAACGTTACCTCTAGACTACGGAGGCCGCTATGGAACATGTAAATGTGCACAGAGTTTATTCTGAATGCTGAAGGAAAGAGGCAATGTGGAAGACTTAGACATACGTGAGTGGTTAATATTAAAATATGTCCTTAAAGTGGGTTGTGAGTATGTGACCTGGACTTATATAGCTCACAGAAACTGGTGGTATGCTTTTGTGAACACTGTAGTGAACTGTCAGATTCCATAGAAGACTAGCTGAGTGACTGTTAGCTACTCAAGAAGGAATTGCTCCATGGAATTAAGTGGTGTAATACAAATTAGGTAATGTGGGACCCTCAACGTCTCACAACCTTATGGGCCATCACGGCCTTGTACAGGGATAGCTTTATGTATATGTTTTATTGACCATTGATATATGGTTGATGTTTCATAAGGAACTGTCTTTGTCTTTGCAGTCGTGCAGATTTCTGACTATTAGAGGAGCCCAAGACTTGGTACTGCTAACGTGTTCCAAGGAGGGCAAGGAAAATCAATTAATGATAACAGCAGCATCTTTGCAGCTATATATACATATATCCTTGATTATATATTTGTTGTATGGTAGTTTTTGTGTGTTAGTGAGAAAATGCCTAGTTTCTGTGGCAACCCTACCCGTGCAATAATACCCTGACATTTTACTCCCTTTCCCACATATATGTACATGCATGTAAACCTGTTAGTATTCTGATAAATTTGTGCAGATTCAGCAGCAGGAATGATGTGTAGACTTCTGTACTCTAATTGTATTCAAGTAACAAATATTGTTGTCATAGACTTATTGTACTTAATCATAACCTTTAAAACAAGTATTCTCTCTTGTACTTAGATAGAATGAAAATGAATGTCACAGTTTATTAAGTGCTACTCCTGCTTTGTACTTTGGTGGTGTTGGGTTTGGTTATTGGCACAGAGTCTGATTATCCTGAGTGAGGTTTTGGGGGTTTTTCTCAGTAACTCCAGGCATATGATATTGTCACGTGTTGGGTATGTCACGCAACAAATAACTTCACATGGGTCTCGGATTCAGCGAATCTTTATTGGACACTCACTCTTACACACCTTACAATTATTATCACTTGCAGTATTGCTTGACTTCTGGCTCAGTACTCTAATACTCAACTATCCTTGGCCGTGGCTGGATGTCAGCTGTCTCTGCTGGCGGCTATCCAAAGATTGTCTCGTTCTCCATACTCAGTGCTCCAATATTCTAATACTCAATACTCAATCTTCCGTTCAAGGCCAGGCCCCTTATATAAGGCACATGCGGACTCAATAGAGGACACCCCTCGCCAAGGTTCGATCTCACATGTTTGGCAATCCATTGCTTCGCGAACGTTCCTTATAGATTACACCAGTAACATGTTTCGTTTCAGCCATTGTTACTCAACGGCAATTCGTTGCTATGATTTGTCACTGCAGGAATTCCACAATTTCCACGTATTCGTTGTTGTGGAAGTGTCCATTCTGATTGTAGTGGTTGTCGCAGTGATGGACATAAGGTAACACGTCACAATATCTTTTCTTTCTCGTCATGCATAGTCAGCCATTCAGTGCTGTATAAACAGTATAATAAAGAAGGTACTGTTAAACAAAGCAAGAAGCAAGCAATATGATAGACTGAGTTGGTAGTTGGTTCAGGCACTGTGCTACAAGCCAGAAGGTTGTGGGCTCAAGTCCTGATGAGGTGGATTTTTTCAATTGACCTAATTCTTCCAGCTGCACTATGGCCCAGGGGTCAGCTCAGTCTCTAATAGAAATGAATGCCAGGAATCATCCTGGGGGGGTAAAGGGCAGCCAGCACACATGACAGGGAGCCTTACCACCATATGTGTGCCAGTTGTCTAGAGAAAATGTGGGAGCCTTGATATCTCACAACTCTATGGGCTTTCATGGCCTGTTACCTTTTAACAGGATTCTGTATTTCCAAAACAGAAATACTTAATTGATATTCTTATTTATGTGATATGTTTTTAGTGAATGCGTTTAGAACTTATGTATTCCATCTCTGCTTTTGTGTTTGCTGTATTCCTCAGAAAAGAAGCCATCTATCTTAGCAGTCTGCTCTGTGTAAATTGGCCATGTGTATGAGTGACTTTTTCAAAGAATCAAGGGGAGAACAAGAATTATATGAACTAGACCAATTGTTTCACTGTAATCACAGTTCATAACACTAATCACTTTTTCACAGTACACTAAATTGTATTACTTACCCCTATAATATCAGATCCTCAATGAATATTTTTCATACACCATTATTTTTAACTCATATATTTATTTATATGGTCATGAACTTTTCGCCCTAAACAGAAAGAGGAGGAAGAGAGATTTTGTTGACAAGTTGATATGTGATAGTGTACCAACCATTCAACTTCTGCTTGAGTGGGCAATTATGAGAAACGTCTGAAACTGAAACGAGCTTTTGATGCAAGTTTCCACCGCCCCCCCTGATTCTTTCTGAAGATTTGAGACTTGTAAATCCCTAATATAGATTCTTTATAGCAATATTTTTCACTTTCTGTGGACAGACTCTGGCAAGTAAGTGTGGGGCTCTTGTCTCTAGGACTGCCCAGTTAAGAAAAAAATTAGTACCAAGTTGTCTTTTTGCTGCCTTGGTAATTTCTTTAGTCCTTAAACACAATTAACAGTTCACTTATATTGCCATATACTGCTTTGCTCTAGAATTTTGTGGGTAACAGCACAACAAGGAAGTATGCTTTTTTCTAATCTTATCAGCTTGCTTCAATTTGTATTTGAAATATTTTGTTTTCTTCATAAAGTAGTGAAAATCAAAACAATGCCTGCAGAAACACTGACAGACATAATATGTACTGTAATAGAATTGCATAGAGTTCATTTTGAGCAAAAAAATTATACAAATGTATTTGTGATCTCAATTAACTTTTGTGGGAGATGTCACAGAATATTCAGTGGAGTCACATCAGATGTGCATTTAACTTGTGTGAACTCAACAGTGCCAGGGAAAAAATAAATAAATAAAATAAGAATTTAAATAGTATGGGCATTTTAATATGCACCACTACTCAGCGAGCTCATTGTCCCAAGACAGTGTTATCGGTACAAGAGGAAGATTAATTACTAGAATATGCAGGATGAATGGTGATTTTTATTCTTGCATTCTTCTATCTCCTATTTTTTCATTTAATTAAAAACAAAATTACCTTACATTTTCTTGTATATGTACTCCATACTATATGCATTACATGCATACTTATTATAGGGTGTATACAAAAGAATGTGCTTTATGGATGATTTAAGGGATTTTCAAGGGTAATTCTGACTATACATGAACTTGGGTTTATGCACCATTGTTAGAATGTAACCCCCATGTAAGATGAAACTTACTGTACTTTATTGCAATATTCCCCCCCCCATTGCTGCCTCTCACAGACATGTATGAAGGGGGACCGAAAAATAACCAGAAACGACCTGTTGCGCACGCATGCTTTGTAGTTATGAGTTGTGCTGCTAGGTGGTGTTAGCTGGGGGTCTCCCGCGACTGTTAGTGAGGTGGCGTCAGTCTGAGTTAAGTGGTTTGTCTGTGGTGCTCTGTTGTGTGCGTTCCTGTTTCAACCCTTTGGCGATTAGTGAGATGGCTGACCAGAAGGAACAAAGAGTGTGCGTGAAATTTTGCTTTCTGTTAGGGAAAACTGCACTTCACTCTTCAAGTCGCGGCAAACATTCACGCGGTTTTCTCTTTGGTCATCTCCGAGCAAGCGAGGAACAAATTTTGCAGACACCCGTCTCATGTGCAAACCTTCGGTTAAAATTTGCTGGACCGTGCTCCATGAGATGTTCGTTTCCTCAGAAAGTTGGTCAGTGGTCTTTCGACGATCTTCATCAATTTCACGCACACTCTTTGTTCCTTCTGGTCGGCCATCTCACTAATCGCCAAAGGGTTGAAACAGGAACGCACACAACAGAGCACCACAGACAAACCACTTAACTCAGACTGATGCCAGTTCACTAACAGTTGCGGGATACCCCCAGCTAACACCACCTAGCAGCACAACTCGTAAGTACAAAGCATGCGCGCGCAACAGGTCGTTTCCGGTTATTTTTGGGTCCCCCCTTTGTATGTATACAACCCAACACAGATTTCTTGAGCTGAAACAAAGTTATTTCATAACCTGAAAATTAAATACTGTAAAACAGTGTAACACAAAATTAATGTGAGGAAACAATTCTAGGTAGAATACTTGTGGAATCTTCATTGAAGAATTTTTAATTGGATGGGTTTCTGTCTTTCTGGGTTCACGTTCTCATGACACCAATTCATTCAGTTTTGAATGTTTTCTATTTAAGGCCTTCCTTACTCCCACCCCAAAGCATTAAATAGGTATTTCATTGTACTTTAAGTAGAAACTCGAAATTGCTGAGAGTCTTAGGAAACAGGAATAAATGCTTGAAAGAAGCACTGAAGTTGAAATGTAGCTGTTGTGAATGGTTAGTTATACACAAAAGTAGTTGTCTGAAGTAAGAGCAGAGTGAAATGTGCTACAGTATTCGTCCAGGTTTATTGCCAACGCTAATAGCATGAACATTGCGTGAAAACTTTTCAGTGTATATTTATCTTTAAGTGATATGTAGAAGTTTCAAATTTGCTTCTAATTTGATTTACTATTATAAAATTTGTGGTTGAAATGGTTCTTTTTTAAACCGTTATGCAGAATTGGGTATTTATGTTAATTATAAATTATTTATTTAAAGCTCATTTTATATATACAGTCCTTTATATATGTTGGCAATATTACTTGCCTTCATGTGTTCTAGTCATTGTAATTACATGCTTTTGTTTATTACATATACTGATGTAAGAAGAACTTGAGACTTGTTATAAAGATTAAACCAGCTTCATCTGAAATAATTTTCTCTTATTATTTTTGTGTGATATAATTTATTATTATTATGAAAGAAAACTAAAACAAAGATTTTGTTTTCTTGCACAGTATATGCCAAATACCCTCTCTGGTATTCTCAATTGAGTTTAATGGAGTTACATAGAACTTACATAGATAGACTTGAAAGGATTCTGACGATGGTGTATACTGTAATACTTTTTTGATGGAACCGGTTGTCGGTTGTTCGTAGGTTGTTACTATAGGATTCTGACGATGGTATATAACACACTGATATATTGGGTTTCTGGACTTTATCCATCGTCCTAGTTTTCAAGATAACAAAAACACGACGTTTCGGAAACTGGATCTGTTTCCATCCTCAGGTGATTGAGGCTAGCTCTTTCTAACGGACCCAACAGAATAGGTGTTCCCCTTTTCCTTCACCTGAGGACGGAAACAGATCCAGTTTCCGAAACGTAGTGTTTTTGTTATCTTGAAAACTAGGACGATGGATAAAGTCCAGAAACCCAATATATCAGTGTTCGTAGGTTGTTTTTCTACAGACCGGGGTTTGTCCAGTGATTGAGACTAGCTCTTTCTAATGGGCCCAACTGAGTAGGTTTATCCTTCCTTATCCACCTGAAGACTGAGACAGATCCAGTCTCCGAAACGTCGTGGTCTTTTTGTCTTTTTCATACCAGACGATGGGTGAAGTCCAAAATAAGCCAAAAGTAGTACAGAACTTACGTAGTTCAGAAGGTCATTATATACACCAGGAATCTGCAACTTTCTAAGAGGACCTGGTTTGGATGCAGGTGTTAAATCGTATGTAAATGCCAAAGTGTTCTGACTAGAGGCAATATAGAATTTCAAAATATTTATTTCTCAATGGGGAAAGGAGATCTAGTGGTGTAAAAGTAACGTTGTTGTACCAGTAAGAGTATGTAAAGAACTTGTATTTTATTTGGCAGGTAGTAAAGGTTCTATTCATTTGAAAGAAATTTGTATTAAAATTAAACCCAGCTTATGGAAATGAACAAATGCAGTCTCTGTGACATTTTGTTTTAAAATTGCTAATGTGAGGTTTAATGTTTGGGGAAATAATTGAATTGTAGAAAACAAATAATTGTCTATATGTATATAGCCTAAGGATGCATTGTCTGAAATGGTTCAAAATGTGGGTGCCTTATTACCATTGCTTTCCAGAGTGCTTTAGAATATGCCATTTGGAGGTTGAAGAGTACCAGGAAGGAGTGAAATTGGAAGTGACATATCAACTTCTGCTTTATTCTGATGATATTGATTTACTGGGCAAGAAACTGAATCCCATGACAGATTGAGAAGATAGCAGATCCCAGTCAGGGGTTTGGTCTGAAGTAAACAGAGAACAAGTTGATACGTTATCACCAGACTGCAAGACAAAAACCATAATATAAAGAATGTAGATAATAAATCCTTTGGGTGCGGGGCAATGTGGCAAAATCGAAAGTATTTTGGAGAGAGACTAACAATTTAATAGAATGTTCACAAATAAATTGAGAACAGATCAAAGTTGTTTAATGCTAAGTGATCCTCAGTTCAGAATTTTTCTCCTCCTGTCTGTCTCAAGACATATAGAACTGTAATATTACATTTTGTATTATATGGGTGTGAAGTGTGGTCTCCTGCATATGAGAAGCACATATACAGAGGATATTTGAAAATAGGGTGCTGAGGAGGATGTTTGGATGTGAGGGAGAAAGCGACAGGAGGGTGGAGTAAATTGCATTGTGCTGCACTTGTCCCAGTTTGTGGGTTCTTGCCATGGTGTAGAACCACATTGTAGTAATGTAGAGTTTAAGAATCCTGGGATATGCAAGATTTTTATGCTTGATACATCTGGACTAAAGACTTCCTGGCTAATGTCCTTTTATGGTTGTAATTAGCAACCAATTTCAGTTATATTTGGTCTACTTTTACATGTTTTATACAGCACCACAGTTTAACAAAACATTTGTGTACATGTTTTAGTTAAATTTGTTTATATCAGCCTGATGATGACTGCATGCAGTAGAAAGATGTGGAAATTAACAAAATAACATTTGGAATTTCTGTTAATATGCTCTTTAGATGGTTGTTACATATCCTACAGAAGACACAAACAGGATGCTGCTCTTCAGAATTGCTGGGCTTTTGGACCTTGCCCATTTTCCAGATCCTGTTTCTGAAACATTGTGTTCCCAATTGTTTAGAATACTGGACGATGGACAGAGTCCAAAAATCCAGTGATTCTGAATGCTGTATGCCATCATCAGATCCTTTAGAATCTACAGGATGCAGCGTTGTTGTTATATATATATATATATATATATATATATATATATATAAAAGTAAAATAATGGTCCATAAGCAAAGTTCCCCTTGGCTAAGATCCACATATTGAACATGCCACTGTTGATTTTACTGTTGTTTTTGTTGTTAACAGTATTGTCACTAATAAGTTACTATTGTTGGCTGCGCCATAGCTCAAGCGGTTAGCCGCTGGCTTCCCACTGCTGTGGCCTGAGTTCGATCCTGGGTCTGGTCAAGTGGGATTTGTGGTGGACGAAGTGGCGCTGAGGCAGGTTTTCTCCAAGTACTTCAGTTTCCCCTGCCAGTCTTCATTTCACCAATTGTTCCACAATCACCCTCGCCTATCATCTGGAACTGGTACAATAGACCAGAAGTGGCCACAGTACAAGGGACTTAGTCCCACCCCACTAGCAATAAAAAAACAGCAATAATTGTGATCCAAGAAATCAAGGATGCCCATGATTGGGGTCAGAAGTACTTCTATGCTGTATGTTATAACTAAGAAGGTTAGAACCGTGTCCTTTGTATCCGGTTTCAGGTCGAACTAACTTCTCAAGACATTAGAAACTTCTTTGAAGAACAGTTCCTCTTCCTTGTCATGTGAAAGGTGAAGTTGTCCCTATGCTTAACTAATTAAACACTACACCATGAAGGCGTATGGGGAGTGGATCGATAGATCCACGTTATATTAAACTCGGTACTAGTTGGAGATGAGTGGGCAGCCTCACGCCCCGGGGAAAGAGCTGTACCCATTGGATATGAGGCTGGATGGGCCCCAGAACGGGTCTGGACAACGTGGAAAGGAGAAAATTCTTGCCCATATTGGGACTCGAACTCCGACTCCATCGTCCAGCCCGTAGGCAGTCGCTATACCGACTGTGCTCTCCTGGCTACCTTGGCATGTGCAGGATTAAAAATAGAATTTGTCATGTCCGCTCTGTTTCGTATTAAATTCAATGAAAATATTTGAAGTCGCACGATTTTACTGGATTTCAGTGCACCCAAATATGACTGGCCTAATGACACTCCATCGTCCAGTACTTACTATTACAGTAAAAGGAGAAGTAATTTGGTTCATATGACCATCTGTTACCTTTGCCTCAATCAGCACAACAATACTGTTTGTAATAGCGCACTATTAGACTTGCGTTTCTCTAACATTGTGGACGCAATTGTGTATTTTTTTCAAAATTTTCCATGGTCAGCCCTGACAGTCATTTTCGGCCACTGGTGTTTTATTGCCGGTTAAATTTCGAGTGTCCTCACATTTCCCCAGGATCTCATCGCAATTCTGCTCAAGGCGAATACTTTTTGCTGTTCAACATTTGCTTCCGGCTGGTCAGGTGCACTTGAGCAGTCGGTTGACTCAGCTGTCAGCACGCCGACATCCACAGGGACAGATACTACGAATTTAACCATTACACCCGTGAAACATTTAAAACATGAAGACGTCTGTCTTCAGGGATATAACGCCCCGTAGTCCGACACCGCTGTGGGGGCCTCAGACCCGACATAAATGTAGAAGCTCTTTCTTCCTGCATTGGTTCTTTATTATTATTTTTAGTGGGGCCACTACTGGCCTATTGCACCAGCCCCAGATGATAGATGATGGTGAATGTCGAGCAATTGGTGGAATGAAGATTGGCAGGGGAAACCGAAGTGCTCAGAGAAAGCCTGCCCCAGCTCCCGCACTGGTTTCTCTTCCTCTTTAAAATATTGCATCAAAAAAAGATAGATATAAGAAAACCAAATCTACTAAGCACCACAGTATTCTTTCTAAAATGGTTAAATCAACCATTAAACCGGAAATCCGTAGGTATCAACTTTAGGAACCAACGTAAGTCTTTTTTTAAGTATATTACTGAATTTAAAAAGAACTGCCACGCTCTTACTAAATTGAAGAGCAGTGGAGCCATAGCTAATGGCTCAAACTTTGTTGCTGACCATTTCTGATTTATTTTTAATTCTTCCTGTCATGTCAGTATTCCTAGGAATTATGAGGTTGCTCTTTCCGACTTTACAAACGTTCCCCTGACGATGATTTCGAGCGGTCAGTTCGACGTTTTAGGACGTCGAAGACCGTTGTGTTAGATGAATTTCCTAGTTTTATAAAGGAAGATTTATGGGATTTTTACTAATACTATAAAACGTCTATATAATCTTTGTTATTATAAGGGACTTTTCCCTCTACACGAATGGAAGCGGCCGTTCTTTTTGTAGTTAAGAAGGTCAACAGCGCTCTTCCAACTATCGAGCTATTTAAGTTTTAAATAACTTTCCTAAAATTGTAAAAAATATTCATGCTCGGTTCTCTTTTTATTTTAAATTTAAACTTTGTTAAAACAAAATAAACTGTAAGAATTTAATTACCTGTTTAAACATAAGAACACCTACTGTCTTATTACTACTACTACTACTAAGTCCAAGTAGGGTTAAAACTGATTTCCATGAGATGTGTGATTGGAAATGAGTAGATCCTATATCCTAGTCCCCAAACGTAAGCTACTCTAAAGAAAAACGAAAAACAAAAAGGTTTCACTTCAGGTATGCGGGATTGCTTGATGAAAGTGAGTGTGAATGTGTTTTTAACCTATTAGTCACATTAACTGCACTGTGATAAATGACTGACAGGAGAATTTTGGGATAAAAAATTAACATAATCTTGTACGCACTTTCGCAAATCGAACATTTATACAAAAACTTTAAGTATACCTTTGGAACTATGTACGGATGGTCGAACTGTTCAAGGAGTCTGATTTCTATTCTTGGCTGGTTATCCTGAATATTAATCTCCTCGCCAGTCACAGTAGCCGCGCGGTCTAAGGCTTGAAATATCTTCACTGCTCTGACACTGGGATCGTGGGTTCGAATCCCACTCAAGGCATTGATGTTTGCGTTTATTTTGTGTTTGTGTGTAGGTAGTGTCCTTTCGACAGGCTGATCCCCCGTCCAAGGATTCAACGAGTCTTACAGTCTGAGATTAAGAAACTAAAGTGAAAAAAGCGTTTCACGGATGCCCTATGGTCCAGGTGGGAGAAACAGGAATTAGATAGATAGATAGGCAGGCAGACAGGAAAATAGAATCATTGGATAGAAGTATGATTCAGGCGTATATGGCCATCATCAGGGAAATGCCAATCTTGCCAAAGTAGTTTCATTGTATATGTTACGCAATGTTAATTTTTAAAATATTATTTATTTGTCTGATTCACTAAACAGCTCATTTAAAATAATTTTTAAAAATTAACATCGCGTTCACATGCGGAAGAAACAGCATCCTACAGTGAAACAGTTTTGGCAAGATATATACCTGATGATAGCCAAATACGCCCGAAGTATGTCGTAAGTATGTATGAGCCAATACGTATGTATAGAACACAGGACCGCAACACAAGAATAATAATACTCATAGACCAAACTTACTTGAAAATCGTCTTATGTTAATTAATGACACTACGAATACAATTAATAGCCCGACAATACAGCCATATTTGATCGACCCAACTCACTTAACAGGCTTATTTTTGGGCCGAATCAGTGTTTGCAGTGAACCGGGATAGCATGGTCGGTATAGCGACTAGCTACTGGCTGGACGATCGAGGGGTCGGAGTTCGAGTCCGGTGGGGTCAAGAATTTTCACTTCTCCATGTCGTTCAGACCGGCTCTAAGGTTCACCCAGCCTCCTATCCAATGGGTACATTGGGCTCTTTCCCCGGGGGTAAAGCGGCCGAGGCGTGAAGCTGACCACTCACTTCCACCTAGTGCTGAGATCAAGAAAACGTGGGTCTATTCATCCACTATCGACTCCCCTATACGCCTTCATGGCGTAGTGCTTAATTAAGTACAAGGATAACTTTACCTTCGCCGGTGTTTACATCTGCAGTATTAGGCAGACTGTGGAAGAAAGTATATGATTAATTTATTCTGGTGACGAAAATAGAAGACGGAGGGCAGGCCTCCCCCCCTGTCGCCAGCCCTATCAAGTCGCGATGAATAATTAGTAGTTGTCATGGTTACAGCGCTCATCGCTGTGTAACAGTCATCTTTGTGTGTGAACTGCTAGCGCCACGGAGCAGGGTGGACATTTCAGAAAGCTCACAGCCATACAGCGGCCTCTTCTGTCATTTCAGGTGGGTTACCGGGGCGTTGTGGTTTGTATACAAAAATTGAGTTTAACGTAGATTTTCAGTTATTTATTACAGCAACAACAGCATGCATTTGACAGTCTCTGATCAATTAATACTGTACTGAAATATATGTTTGTAAATCCTGAGCGAGGTTCATATGGACATAGTTTTCATTTGAGCGTTAATCCGTACGGTTTAAGTACTACGCGGTAAACTTTGAATGATAACAGTTTAGAATTTTTGTAGAATTTGGAAGTAACAACGATTCGGCCGTAGGGACATTTTCCTTGAATGGGAGTGCGATTCAAAGTGTTCGACAGCGTACTTTACGACCTGTTACAGAAGGGAAGTGCCACACAAAAATACAAAATACTAAAAGAAGTTTCGTCCGAGATTCATTTGATGAAGAATTACAGCTTCCTCTTTAGTAAGTACACTGCATGTTAATTATAAAAATATGGATATTTGAGGTGAATAATTATTACGGTATTTTCATTCTGGATTATGTAATTTTAGTATTCCTAATTTAAAGTAAAATGCTCTTAACCTCAAATTTGCTTATGATGAAATGTGTATAAGTCTAAAGAATTACTATGGACATTAGTAATAACATTACATTAAATTGTCTATTTTCGGTTTGTGACATTTTTAAATTTGGAATTTTTTAATCAAATTCCATCTGCGATTAGCAGTTTCCGAATATACCTGGTCGAGTCCAAATGTTTCTGCTATTTTATGACTAATTGTACGTAGGGCATATAAATGCCATGGCTGCAGGTTACTTTTTTTGGTTTTCCCTTTGTGCAATAGGATTGTTTGCATTATTTATCAGAAAATAACTCTACTTAAATATATTATTTATTTTAATTTTAGAATATGGTGACCAGAAGCGTTAATTAAGCTAGAGTGGGCCAGTGAACTTAAAGAAGCCCCTATTTATTTGAGGGTCAAGTAGGTTAGAATACTTCATTTTAAGTCTTTCTAATTGTAAATAAACCTCAAATTAAATGACAGGTTGTGCAGTCGTGACACTATAAAATTTTTCCCAAGTTTTAAATCAACAAGCTCCCAAAATTGAACCAAATTTCACGATAAGACCCAATTTCTTTTAAAATAACAACTTTAAACCACTTTTTCATTTAAAAAACATCGAAACGCTGTATGCATTTAAAAGAACAATTCGGAAAAGTCTTTTCGTTAAGATAAATGCATCTGAACGCTGCATGCATTATGTAGCTTACGTGCAAAACATTATGCTAAATTAATACGGAATATTTTACGAATTATTTACGTGATTTCTGACAGTTCGTCATTCTGGTATTTCTATTTCAAACGCAATATATTGTATGAAAATGTGCCGCAGACTTCATGCTCTATCGAATGGCTATGATGATGGTGAGAGGTAAGAATTCAGGGCCCATTTCACATTATTGTCTCATGGGAACCAAGGTAAACAACTAATAACTTGAGTCCAAATAGCTTGCTCCCTATTTTTTTTCATTGGCACTACAGCCCCAGTGGGCCTAGGCCTACCTCCATGAAGTCCATGAACTTCTACGTTCACTTCGGTTTTTCTAGATCTTACACATTTGGTAGGACTCCTTGGGCGGGAGATCAGCTCGTCGCAAGGCCTCTACCTGTACACAAACACAGAAAAACGCACTCACGCACTTTACTCCGAGGAAAATTATTTAATTAGGTAGCGTAGTTGGTTGAGGGGCTATGCAACAAGCCGGAAGGTCGAGGGTTCAAGTGCCGATGTAGTCATCTGGATTTTTTTCAATTGACCTAATCCTTCCAACCGCACTGTGGCCCTGGGGTACCCTCAGCCTCTAACAGAAATGAGCAGCAGGAATTAATAATAATAATAATAATAATAATAATAATAATAACACGCCTGACATACATTCAGGAGGAATGGAGTACCTTGACGGACGATATTCAATAGGCTTTTTAATTCCTCTTCGCTCCCACTTTGGAGCATAGGGCTGATTTCTCAGTTTCATTGATCATCTTTACAGACGGTAGGACTCCTTGGACGGGTGATCAGCTCATCGCAAAGCCTCTACGTAAACACAGGACAACACGAGTGCAGAATAAACGCATACACCCATCAAGCATTCATGCTTTTTTGTGGGATTCGAACCCACGATCCCGGCTTCCGAGCTAGCGATGACAGTACACGCCTTAGACGGTCCGGATTCAGTAGGCCTAGTTATGGGTAATTACTTGGATGCTATAATTGCTTCCTTCCACATGGTTCAGTAATCGCCGTGGTTTTCTTCTTACGTCCTTTAGCGTTATGTAACTCAGAAATGTAAGATCTCTTAATTCAACACTACACACTGAATGTCACGTTTAACTTTCTCAAACATGAATTTCTTTTAAATAATATTTATAAATTCAGTCCCTACTGCATGTAAAACAAGCCGAGTGTCCATTATAGATACAAATTTGTACACAGAATTTAGGAAAGTGTTGTCCTTATGCCTAATTAACCATCAGGCCATAAAGGCATATTGGGGAGTGGAGGTATAGCTCCACCGTTATTAAACTCGGTACTACCTGGGCATGAGTAGTCTTCTTCATGCCCTAGCCACTTTATCCCCTAGGAAAGAAACCGCGGTGACTATTTATTTCAAGATTCATAAGAAAAATATAAATGCACTGTGGACAAAATGCAGACATTTTTAACGTTAAAGCATGTACATGTAGTGATCATTATGCTTCAAAATCTTGAAACATCACCCACAAACTGAATGTCACAGTAGAGAGATTAGTACTTCTGCTTCTTGCTCGGGAGGTCTCGGGCTCACTTTTCAGCCCGGAGATGACTATTTTGAATGAGGATTTTCGTGGTTTTCTTTAACCACTCAAGGCTAATGCCAACTCGCATAGCACCTGGAACTAGGCCACCACCTCGCTCTTCCAGATCCTTCTCAGTTCGTTTTCATGAGTGAATATTGGCTACCGTCAGAATTGTTAAATTGGCCACATATAAAAATATAAACCATTACCACAGAAGTGTGTGGCCGATCACAGTGGCTGCGCGGCGTAAGGCATGGTCATCTTCACCCTCTCGAACACTGGGATCGTGAGCGATAAGGGAAGAACCAGGATCGAAGGCGCCACCGAGAAGGGAATGTCTGAAGGCGTTACTGAGAGTGATTGTATTTGTGGGTGTAAACAAATAATTGTCCAATAAACATTCGTCTACTCCGAAACCCATCGGTTCTTCTCGCATTACCTAGGAAACACGCGACGATATTTTCTTTAGCGGATTATTCTCGAAGAAACCATTATTGTAAATGACGGGTAAAATTATAATTGTAAACATTTTAATCTTTGAGTATTTTTGTAGGAAACGGTAAATACAAAACTGTGAACTGAATTGTAGCCAAGAATTCCCGGCTCTAACATATTTTTAATCTAATCACCGTATCGTCTGTTAACCAGACCATCGAAAGCAATGAAGAGCATCAAATGCCGTGATTTATCGAGAGACAGATTCTGCATACAGACTGTATGAAATCCAGAGGCTGCGCCATAGCTCAAGCGGTTAGTCGCTGGCTTCCCACCGCGGAGGCCTGAGATCGATCCCGGGTCTGGTCAAGTGGGATTTGTGGTTGACAAAGTGGCGCTGGGGCAGGTTTTATCAGAGTACTTCTGTTTCCCCTGCCAATCTTCATTCCACCAATTGCTCCACAATCACTCTCACCTATCATCTGGGGCTGGTACAATAGGCCAGAAGTTGCCGCAGCACAAGGGACTTAGTCCCACCGCACTAGCAATAAAGAAAATATAAAATCCAGACTGATATTACGTCTTTTCTAGCCAGTGTTAGTGTCTATCACATGTTGCTCAGGTTTAGAAACAAAACAGGAGAATGAGACTGAACGTAGTGTTGTTAGGCTTTGCCGACTGTGACTCATTTATAACATAAACTGTTGGTATTTTTGATCTAATGAACACATTGAAACAGACCTTGAGCTAAAAACTCTTCATGCTTACTACTTCTGTTCGAGTGTTTTATTTTGTATAGACTGCTGCACCGCACTTTATATCAAACTAGAAGTGCCATCTTTGCTCGACGTATGGTTGCTCTCTCTCTCAGTATCACTGTACAGACTATATTGGCTGAACTCTACAGGGAGTATAATACCAAATATACAAATTAAAGTATATTCATATTGGACCTTATTAAAAATATTGGAATTTTAAATTCGAATGACATATAAAATTAAAACTGTAATATTTGCAACCCACTGTAACAGCCGTTACTATTGTACGTGTATATGTGGAGTATGTTTCATAACATACAATATAAATCACTCCGTCCAATGTGACCTGTAAGTTTTTTACTACATGAAAACTTAACACCCTTAACATGTTTCGGTCTCTGGACATTCTTCAGAGGGCAAACATCACTACAAATAGGAAACCACCATCACATAAGTTCTTTAGACGTAAAGTACGTACACTTATATGCTACAATACATAGTACACAAAATAGAACATTTCACAAACACAGCAGTTTCCTGGGAATGTAAAGTTTTTTAAAAAAATGTATAAAATTTCTTGATGCTAATTAAAAAAAAATTTTTTTTGTATTGTCAATAATTAAAATTCGTAAACCATGCAGGCTCGTGTTCGTCCTCCCATCGTCCCTCTTATATGGGGAAGATATTGTGCCACCTGGCTCTCTTGATATGGAGGTTCTTTACATCGTCCAGGGTTTGCTCGTAGCTGCTGTGCTGTTTTCACTACATAACATAACATAACATAACATTAAATATTTTGTTGGGCTTCTTATTAAGTCCGCACCAGGAAACGGAAGACAGAGAAGCTGCACCGGATTAAAATCTGGTAAGAGAAAACGTTAAAAAACTTGTTCTCTTTTTCCATAATGAAGCAATAAATACTGTCAAATATAATGTGTTATACTTTACAGTCTTCGTTACTTCATTTGCTATATCAAGTACAGCGCCCCAGACTCCTCACATAAAATGTCTCTTCTTCGACTTAAATTGTAAAATTATGCACGATGCAACAGACATTTAACATACATTCCTTTGCTCCTCGAAATCATATATATAGTCTTAAAGTTCGACTATATTCTATTGTGTATTCGTCTCACCATACGTGCTCTATCACAATTTTTATTTTATGGTTTCTTGGTATCTCCCGCTGGACTAGTCAAGGCTTATATGTTTGAATAGCTGGGTAAATCTGACAGGAGTTGTCCAGTGATTGAGATTAACCCTTTCTAAGGGGCCTAACTGAGTAGGTGTCTTCCTTCCTCACCTGAAGACGGAAACAGATCCAGTTTCCGAAACGTCGTGTTTTCTATTTCCTAGAATTCCGGACGATGGAAAAAGTCCAAAAATCAAGTAATTGTATGTGTTATCCACCATCGTCAGAATCCTT